TTAGTTCATTTCAAACCCATTTTCTTTAGAATGACATGTTTTGCTCGAAATTCTTTTCTTTTTGTAAAAAAGATACAGTTAATTTTTATTATTTAGATAATTCGACCAGAACAGTAATGACAAGACCTCACATTCGAACAATCAATGGTGCTCAACATAATGGTCATCTTGGAGATCGTTACAGTCGAGTACAAAACAGAGCTGCTGCAATGCTCGATGCATGGCATGAGTTTGGTGAATCACTAACAATAGATGTTGTTGCTCATATGCATCGACTCTCAATTACTCAAATTGAAAAAGATATGTTTGGGGAACCATCGGATATAAAGAAAAGATATGGTACTAAATCAACAGTCAAACTAGAACGTGTTCTTCAAAAATGTATAAATGAATTAAATGATGGAGTTAATCGAGCACTGGTTGCTGTAGCACACCATGTTCCATTTATTCTCATACGTGCACTTGAAGAAAATCCAAATATAAAAGAGGTGGCTACAACGTTTTTGATTGATATTAAAAACAAGTTGAATGCAATTGATGAAGAAAATAAAGTTAAACGTATTGATGATGCTCTACAAGTAAGATACTTCAAATTCAAAAGATTTTCATATTTCTGTTTATTTTCTCGTAGAAATATACAAAATTAAAATCATTAAATAGATCTCCACTTCGTTCTATTGAAAATCAACCAGTTATTAATGGTTCAAGTTTACAAACAGAAGAATGTGATACAAATCTTTTTTTTTCTCTAATTAATAATGTTTTTTTTTAGCATTACAAGTTGCTGAATCTTTTGATGATCTACTATGTCCTCAAGTCAAAACTACAAGATGTTCTCGAAAAGGTAAGATTCTTATAGTATGTGTACTTTAATTTACATAAAAAAAAACTTGAAAAAATCTTCACCATCTGCTATATCCCTTATGTTGAAGGATAATGAACAATACTGCTACTATTTTTAATTGTTTTGCTACGTTGTTTCTATTTTGTTTAACTTTAGAGCTGCATATTGCTGAAATCGAAGAACATGAACAATTACTATCGACATGCTCATCAAAACTATGCCATCAATCGAAATTATTCTTAGAATCTGATTTACAACTGAAATGGACACTGTTCAAAAATGTTGGTGTTGGACTTGAAAATACAAATGATAAAGGAGAATGTAAAAATATTTGTTACATCAATGCAATTATTCAATGCTTAGCATATATAGCCCCATTAGTTCAATGGCTATCAATTCATTTTGGTACTAGTCATTGTAAGTGTTGAACTTTTAAAATAAAATATTTATAGACTTTTTTCACAAATGCTTAGAAAATTTACCGAGCTACTTAAGTTAGACCTTGGCATTTCTTAAGCCTGCTAAATACATTGTTTTTACATAAGAAGATCGCTCGGTAACATTGAATGGAAGATAATTTCTAAATCTAAATAAGATTCGGACAATCTATTAGTTAGTTTATTAAAAATCTGAATGATTTCTTTTTTCTTTTCGAGTGCCTATCTTATTTAGTTAGAGAACTTGATTGCTTCGGTATATACTTTTTCTTGCCTTATTCGTTTCTTTCCTTCTCTACTAGAGCGAATATGTTTACATAGATGATACTTCGATATATCCTAAACTAATCTTCATCAAAATCTTAAGAATTCATAATGTTTCCTCTCTAAACGTTTTTTTCTTAGTTAGTTGTCTTGATTTATATTGGTATCAGCATCGAATTTTATTCTGTACCAATGGATAGATTTCTACCATCGTTCATGAAATAATTTCAGCAAGAGAAATGCTTGAACAGATCTAAGTAATTTTTTCAAAGGCGTAGTTTTAGTCAACAACATAAACTTCACAATTTTGTTTTCCAACAGAAGTAACAAGAGTTTTTTATTATCTCTCTCTCTCTCTCTAACTTTGGATTTTCCTTTCGTTTGGTTTTTTTTGTTCGCCTCATATATCTCGACATTTATAAGAACGTATACGTTCGTATACATGTCGACATAAACAAAAGAACGAAAGAAAAAGATTATCCAGCAAGAAAGATTGCGAGTGAAAGACTCTTGTTATCAGCAATCTTAATGAAACTTAAATTGCAATAAAAATTGCTGGTCTAAAGAAAAAATCATATTGCCCCTGTTTGTAAAAAGAATATTGGAACTTTATTTTGTTCTTTTATGTATTTATGCATGATAAGAGTTAACTGAATAATTGCTTCTATATCTTTTAATTTTATTTTAAAGGTGAATTATCGATTGAAGATCAATTTTGTTCTGTATGTATGCTTCATTCGGTTATATGTAGCATACATCGCAACATCGAAACAAATTCTACTGTATTATGTGATCGTTCATGTGGAAGTGCAGAATCATTTGCTCAAAAAATTGAACAATTATCTCCAAGTTTTACTATCGGTCGTCAAGAAGATCCATCAGAATTTTTACAGTTTTTACTTGATCATCTTGTTACATGTCTTACTCCTAATAAATCAATGATTAATGTGAATTTATCAAAAACTCCAATTGAATATATACTTGGCTTAGAAATACAATCGATATCGACGTGTAAAGTTTGCTTACGAAAATCGATTGTTAAAAATTGGGAAAGTGTTTTGTCTCTGTCTATTATTTCACATGCAACTATTGTCGAAAGTCTTGAAGCATTTTTTTTCAAAGAAGAATTACATGGTGAAAACTTATATGAATGTATGTATTGTCAAAAAAAAGTACCAGCTACAAGAAGCCTGCAAATTTCTAAAGCATTACCTGTTATTTTTATACAATTAAAAAGATTTACTTATGATAAAGCGTAACGTATGATTCGTAAAATTCATCAATCTGTAACTTTTCCAGAAATACTTAATCTTGACTGTTATTTCGATCAAGATATTCAAGAACTGAATAAAGAAAATAACACAATTGATAATTTTGTATATAAATTAAATAGTGTAGTTGTGCATCTAGGTGAAAATGCAACTAGTGGTCATGTTTTTACATATGTTCGCTCGCCTGATGAAACTTGGTACACAGCTAATGATGAATCAATGAAATCAACGAGATTAGACACAGTACTTGGTGATAAAGATGCATATATCTTGTGCTATACTAAAGTACCAAAGAGTAGTGCAATTTTATCTGATACAAATATGATTATATCTCCTGCACGATCATCATTGTTTTTAACCTCATCAACACCAATAAATTCAAGTAAAATTTTTGATAAAAATACTAATAATTATACAACTGTAAGAAATAATGCCTTTCTCTATTAATATTTATAGTATTTTTATGTCTCATTTAGCGAAATTTTTACAACAATATTGCCGTTTCGTCTAAGAACTTTTTTGAAGAAAATCGAGCAACTAATAATTTGCTTTCGACTGAATATTCGTCAATTATGAACAATAGTAAACTTGATTTAATTTATTCGAAACTTGAAGTTTTTGTATTTTAGCTATACTGCTTGAACCTTCTTCTACACAAGAATGTTCGTCTCCGACATATATTCAATCATTTAATGAAAACAGTATGGAATTTAGCATGATTGAAACAGAAAGTCGAATCGAAATTATACCTAATAGCAACAATACTCAAAATAATTTGAATAAAAGATTAAGCAACAACATTCACAAGGTAATAATAAAATTTCCCGCAATCATTTCTTCTCATAAAATACTAACTGCTTCAATATTGTAACAGAACCAACTCTCATCGTCAATACTGGAACGTGAGCAAAATTCATCAACAACATCTCTACATAAACAAGTTTCTTCATCAGAATCTCGATATCAACAACTTCCATTACAAATATTTGGAAATGATCGATTTGTACCATCATCATCTCAACGTGCACATATGCCATCATCAATGTTTGAAAATGAACCGATTTTGTCACCTATATCTGACAATGAACACATATCATCAGCAACATCAAGAAATACTCGTTCCAGTAACTATCGTTAGAAATTTCTCTCTTTAGTATATATATAAACTGAAGAAACATAACGCCAATCCTCAATTAAGATGTAATTAGTTTCAAAAGCCTGAAAATTGAATATTTTTATTCTTAACTATGCAATTTGGAGAGAGAATAATCCCTACATGTAATTCTATGCACATTTTGGAGAATTATGAAATTGTTTGTAAGTATATAGTGTACAGTTTCTTAATTATTAGTATTGTTTCAGGTATTCAGTTGAATGAAACTGTTCATGATTCAGTAGCCGGTAATGACTTCATTGCTGAATTACCATCACATCATCAATTTAATCTTCGAGCTGTTGATCTTGCAAAATTATTAGTGATTCGAACTGCAAAAAACAACAAGAAAAAAGATCGTCTTTTCAGGCAAATGGGCCTATCGAATGTGACTGATATTACAACACCTTCAAGGAAGATTTTTTTATCGAAGCAAACGAAATTATTGAAAAGTACCTTCAACACAACTGTGAATAGTCAAGGTAGTTTATTTCAATCCAATCATATTTTTGGCGTAACATTCTTTTTACCTATGTTATACAGATTCTTGGCAATATGCATTGTTTTAATACATGATCATTTGTAAATCCATGTTTCAAACTTTGATTATATCATATCGAACAAAATGAGAAAAAATGTAATAGGAAACATATACAGTTCACCATATTTCGTTAGAACGTAGGAACATCTCATTTAATTCAACAATATCTTGAGAATGAGTTTGACGATGGTAGTCATTAGAATAAAGGTTATTCTCTGATTCCCCTAATTTATCATGTCAAAGCATAAACATTTTCTTTACACTTAGATTCTTCGATACATATTCCAAGCGAACAAATAAAACAATCTAATGTTGATGTTGAATATTTTTATATTTTATTGCCGTACATCAAGCAATTGAATAAATATTGTGGTTTATGTGTACGCAACACTACCTTTGGTGCAACAAATAATCTTCATCATCAATTACTTCGTTGTAATCTACGTTGTATTGCTCATCCGACATGCTCATTTTCATGTTCAGTTATTGTTCAAAATAATGGTACAGGTAATATTATTGTTACTAATGGTACTGTTCGACATGTTCGTGGTGTTAAAATATGTCGTCCAATTCGTGCGCCAGTGCGATCATTAATCAAAAAACGATTTGCTCAAGGTGCATCTGTTCACAGAATGTACCAAGAAAAGTTACAAAAAAGAACACCTGAAGAAAGAAGAGGTCAAAATTATGATGGTATTGGCAAAAATCGAGATGTTTTACGGAAAATAAAATCAGAAGGTATCATGGAATCTTTATTGGCACCAGATGTTGATCAAAGTTTATTTTAATTATTTGAAAAATTTCGAATTGAAGTTAATCCTAGTGGAAAAATCAAAGGTGCTATTCAGTCTATATCCAAATATCCTTGTCAAATAATTGTATATTCTGAATCATCTATTCGTTTATTTGATGCTCTTTTAAAACATAACAATGTTATTCTATCTTGGGATGCAACAGGAAGCATTATTAAAGAAACCAATTCTCACCGTCTACTTTATTATGAGTTAAGCATCACATTACCTGGTATTGTTAAAGAAGATAGTATTGTGCCAATTACATTTATGATAAGTGATGCACATGCTTTAGTTGATATAATTCATTGGCTTCAGTTGTTCAAACATAGTTATTCACAAGTAAATATTTTGTCTTTGTTCTATAGCTGTATGTATGTATCAAAGTTTATCTTAAAATGGATTTTACTTAATGACGTAATTTTAACTTCAAGAAATCTTACTGTTGAAAAAACAAAGAAATTTTATTCTTGAGGATTTTATACGAATGATGTCTGAAAAATATTATTTTGACACTTTTTATATGTCTTCTGTTTTCAATTAGGTTTATCCTGGCAAGAAGTTTCCACGACCTCGAATTGTTTTAAGTGATCGTGCACAAGTTTTTCTCATTGCATCTCTTCGAGTTTGGAACAATGAATCAATGAATGATTTTTTAAACCGAGCTTATCGAATAGTAACTGATAAATGTACTGATTCTGATATTGAAAAGACAAACATACATGCATGTCTTGCACATGTCCTTTTAGTAAGTACTGTTACTTGGAATTTTATTTCAGTTTACGACTTTTTTGTTTTAAAGGATTCCAGAAAAATTATCAATAAATTTGTGCCGGAAACATTTCGCGTTCTTGCAATGTGGAGCATTGCACTTTTGATCAATACATCAACATGGAATGAATTTGTTCATAATTGGCAATTAATATGCTTTGTTTTTATCCAGCTGCATTTGGGTGAAGAGAATGTAAACAAAGATCATCAAAATGCTTTAATTTATAAAATAAGCAAAATCGAAAATGATCCAAATATAAGCAGTGCAATTAAATTAAGTGAAACTGTTGAAGATGAAAATGAAGATAATCTATTGAGTTCAAATGTCTATAATTATTATGATGACGATGAAGAAATTCATTCAGAATCAGTTAAACATCGTTCAAAATCGACACAAAAAAAGGTTCGAAAAAATAAAATCAAGATTGAGCGAATACATGAAGGGAGTTAATTCGAAATCTAAATTATAAGAACGTTGACTAGTTTTTAATCTTTAGTTACAAAACAAAGAATTGCCTACAAACATATGGATTTGAATCATTCATTATATTCACTGTAAATTTATTTGCTTTTAATATAGATTATAGTAGATGAAGAAAAAGAAGCTAATGCAACGGATTCACCGTTTAAATCTATAATCAATGGCACATTTCATGATGTTCTTGCTACGTACAGCATTTGGATAACAGAAATTCGTGATAAAAAATCTCGTGGAATTCTAAAATGGTTTAAGTATTTAACAGCTTCATTTATGCCAACATTGCCAATTTGGTCAAATTTATTATTAGGTAATATTCTAGATTTCATAGCTGTACCAAAATAAATAATCTTTCTATTTTTTATCTAGGTGATCTCAATCGTCATCGTCGTCGAATAGTTCGATCTTATGAGAGCATTATTCTTCTGAATAAAGAGCAACGTACCACAGCCATTAGTGAACGAAGAATGGGAATCGTAAAACGTAATCAACTAGGTAAAGTGAAAGACAATTACTTTTAATCGAAGTAAATAAAATTCTTCTATAAGTAAACTTTGAATGAGAGTTTTATAGCAGTTAGATCGAAGCCTAGCGAAAAATTTTCAAAAACAAAAACATTGTTTTTAAAGATACCTCATAGTTTCTTCTGATTTATAAGAGTGAATTGTTACAAATCTAAAACATTGCTGCATATTTCTTGGCTAAGATCTTTTCAGATTTTCTATTAAATTTCTTTTTTCTATTTTAGGTGGTGTAGTACATTTGCGACTTGATGTTTTATTGTCAATATTAGTACCAGATATGCTGTCCATGGTCGATGAATATTGGAATACATTATTAAGCTATTGTTCAACATCAATTAGTAATTCAAGTGATAATAGTATAATAAACATTGATGAACAACGTCTTAAACCAATCGAAGAACGTTGGCGACAAAAAGTTTCAAGAAGAGGTTTAGGTCATTATGCTAAATGTCCTGATCAACAAGTTTTTACTGATGTTTTGTCGTGTTTATTGACATCTCAAATTTATTTCAATGACAATATAAAATTACCTACTATTAATCCCAATTGGTTGAATGTTGGAATTGGTATTTTATTGTCGGTCGGAAATAATAATAATTCTTCTCATCATCGATTTAATTTAATATCGGCAAATGATTCTCCTTTACTATCAACTATTGCAACATTTTTAGATGAATGGTGTAATTCATCAGCACGTGATATTAGATCAACTACTATTAATTTTCCGTTACTTAATTTTGATTTAAATCAAACACTTGAACAATCAACATACATTTTAGAAAAAATATTGATACCACTTCTTCCTTGTCGTTTAATTATTAATAAAGTTTATACATGTAAAAGTTGTGAATCAACAATTAAAGTTCGTTGCATCATTACATCAATACCTGTTCATGTTTCAAAGAATGGTTTATATCTCGAACGAGATTTATTTGATTTTTTTGATCAAACAACATCAGATTTACATTGTTCTACATGCAAAAAATCAACCATTCGTCATATAGAGGTGATCGAGTGGCCACGGGTGCTTTTAATAAACATCAATGATTCAATTAAAAATACTAGACACCGTAAACCGCCTGGAATAATTTCTCTTGCTCAATTTTCCAGCTGGATAGCTGTTGGCTGTCCATCTGCAAGTATATATGATTTGGCATGCTTCACTAGTGTCATGTCATCAGGTGGAAATGAAACAATGGTTCGTATAACTAAAGTAAAGAAGAGTTGGCTAACAAGTATGCACAAAAGAGTCATTGGTGATGGTGATCAACTTCGACGACTTTACGCCAACAGCCGTGAGTATTAAAAAAAATATTGAGTTTGTTTAAGTTTTATTAGTTGTATCAATTTCATTTAACTTGCTCAACAATGTTTGAAATTTTTGTTTATACGGTGGATGATCTTCTTTTTATTTTCTAATATAGGTATATTGGTCTTCGAACGTATTCATCATCAAAATAAATTAAACTTCATCTATGCTATTATGCAATGCACACTAAATAGATCTTCGATTGTACCTGCTAATATTCCAGTGTGTGCTACGATTCAAGAAGCTTGTTATATCATTAGTACTCATCCTGATCTTACTGAATTAAATAATGCACTTATTTCAAATATTAAAACGACTTTTTATTGCTATTCTTGTCATAAAGTACCTGATTCTCTGCAAAAGCAAGCTGCTCAAATATATATATATAAATTACCTCATACAAATAAAATTGTTGCTCATCCTGTGTTATTGAACGTTGATGTTGACGATAGTCGACAAGAACATTGTACGTATTGTAATTGTTCATCCAAAAATATAGAAATGCCTGTATGCAAACAAGTGTTTATTCAATGTCCAAGATACTTAATAGTAAGTTTTTATACTATCTGACTTCATTGTATAAAAAACAATATTGCATTGGGAATGAATTATTGCTTGTTTCACAAATAAAAAAGAATCGTTTTATTTCTTTTTGATAGTCTCTGATAGAAAGATGATTTTTCGGTAGAAATTCTGTTTGTTGTTAAACATAGCGCTCATTATTTTCAGCTTTAATTTCAAAACAAATCTCGAAGAATCAATATAACTTTTAATGAATATTTTGTAATTCAAATTGTACCATGAAAAAATTGATTCTTCATTTTAGAACTTTATTTTTCAATAAAACATTCAGTAGAATTAAATGATTTATTTTCAATTTGTTTCAGAGATTTGTCGAGAGCAATTTTCAAATAAATAATTTATTTGATTCAAGAATAAAATTAACTGATGATCAAAATGCAGTTCATTGTTATAAACCTGCAGCCATATTATTGATCAGTCGGTACAGTGATACAGCTACTGTGATAAAACAAGAAGCTGGTGTTTATGTTGAATATAATGGTAATACTTATTCACAAACAACACCTTTATCAAACTCCAAAATGGCAGATCTCTTCGATACTTGTGGTGCGATATTATTATTCTATCATCAGGTAGTATTGTTATTCTTTTTTGCATTTATCATTTTCGAATTTGATTTCATCAGCAAATAGTTGATCTATATTGCATAGAAGCTTATTGATTTCCTCAGAAAATCCTCTCGAATTGCATCTAATATAAATTGTATACAGAAAAATAATAGTATTTCTTATCATTTTCGTTTGAAACAGTAACTGATCAATCACGTATGCGAATTATTTCTCAAGCTAATGTCAATGGTGGGCAACGTATAATAATTCAAGATGGTGAACGACTTTTTGCAGTAAGTATAATTTTTTTTATCATAATGATATAGATTCATTTAATTATGATTTTGTTTTCAAATTATTTAGATAACAGCAACACAAACCAACACAAAAAACAGTTAAAACGATTGAAAGACACACTGCCGTTCAGCATGCCATTAAACTTTATTGTTTTGATCATCTTTGTACATCTCATAATTCTTTAAAAGCTTGTAGTTATTAGTAATTTTTCTTTATCTATCTTATTTTTTTATGATTTTCTTCATCTATCTTATTTTTTTATGATTTTCTTCATCTATCTTATTTTTTTATGATTTTTCTATTCTTTTTGTTTTGATCAATTGTATTTTGAAATTCAATTTTTGTTATTTCATCTTTTATGTAACTCGACATGTAAAAGAATTACTCTATTTTTTTACGTCAGAAATTCCAATAAAATGTTTTTCCTTATTAAAACAATCTTAATACTTAGAATAACTATGGAGAAAAATTATTCTCGCATACTGAGATATCGTAGCATTGCTTTTCTCAAATCATTCAGGAGTATTACAAAAAAATATTAAAAATTGCTTGAGAATTTTCTGCTGACAACTAGCGACAACTACAGCATAGTACTGTCTGATAAAAGTAATACGGGTATAGTATGGACTGATGGACTCCACTTATGCTGACGCCTACTGAGGCTCACTTCATACGACCTTTCAAAATATGTTGACCTCGAATGATTTCCATGAAAATCCTTTTCCTGAAAAAAAAAACATTTAGAAACACATACGTTCATTCATTATTACATATCTAATTGACATTGGCTGTGATTTCTTGCCAAATTATTTTTCAACAGCTCGTGTTAGAATTCGTATCATAGCTGAATTAAATGAATGAAGATCTAAAGAGTTTCAAATTCTAAATATGATGCTGAATTTGATGTCACAATATTTGATTCAATCTTTTCGAAAAATTAATCTAAGGAAATATAAATACTTTTCAGTCTCACAAACATCATCAACAATTACCGTCGGAAGCACTCGAAAATCCATTTATTCGGACATCTTTAATTCATTTCTACCGTAAATAATAATTTTTTAGTTTTCTGAATTTTTTTTTATTGTTTTTTCTTGAAATTCATTGATTATTATAGGTTATATCTCAAACCATTGGGTAGGAAAAGTTCTTGAATAATTCGAGACAATATCAGTAGAACTCGATAGTGTGCTCATTACAATGTTATTTAATGCTTGTGCCAAACTTTGTAATAGTCAAGCGATTAAACTTGGAAAAGATAAATTCAAGCGCCTACCAACTTTTTTTCTTCAAGATCAAAGATTAGTTAATTCAGCCATTGACATGTTGATGAAATTCGATGACGCTAGTCAAGCTGAGGTTCTTTGAAAAAAAAACTCTTGTAACTTATGGAGCAATGATGCAAGGTTATGAAATAGAGTTAAATAGTAAATTGCTAACGAGGGAACGTCCCTGCGTGCTTCTCTGCGACTTTAACCAGAAGTAAATGGGTGTGTCAGGTCAAGTATTGGTATCTCAAATATGAAAAAATTAGCGGCTGAGAGCGAAGGAATAAAAAATTTCAGTGAACAAACTTTTTATAAGTCTGAGAGGTACCACTAGTACTTTGTCATCAAAAATATTCGCCTGTGGTACCCCTCAGACTTATAAAAAGTTTGTTCACTGAAATTTTGAATTCCTTTGCTCTCAGCCGCTAATTTTTTCATATTTGAGTTACCCATACTTGACCTGACACACCAATTTACTTTTGGTTAAAATCCCAGAGATACACCCATGGACCTTCCCTCATAAGTGCTATCTATCGATACAAAATAACTAGAGTGAAATTAGATGCGTCGGAACTAATCAAGCTAGAACAACGTTCAGAAAAATTTCAATAAGCTCGATATAAAATAAAGAAAAATAGTCATCCAGGAGAGCTATCATCGAAATACTTCGTTTCAATGAACCTGTAACTCAAACTAGTCTTGACACTATAGAAACCTAACAGGAATTCACACTAATGGATTACAGACCTACTCAAATCCTGTTTTTTATTTTCGAGTTCAGTTTGGTTTATCTAAATTTTTGCTCAATTCCGTTTGAGCTCATTTCGGTTCGATACGTCCTCGTGTGTACGTTCAAAGATGAAAAACTCTGACACTTACTAGATTCAATTCAAATCCCACTCTCAATTCAAAAAACAACTAAACTTATTTATACTTTTTCGATAAATATAAATTTCAGATATTTTAAGCGAGCTAGACAAAGTGTTTCAAGGTGTTGCTGCGAAAAAGCTAGTAGATGACGCCATTTTCGACGATCGTTGCAACTTTTCTAATCTAGAGGGTGTGTAAATATTCTGAAAGTTGTCAAACAGTGTAGTCTTAATTAGAATGGCTTTTCTGAGTAAGCGGCTAGCCGCCTCAATTATTGATGATCTTCCAAGAAACTGCTGGCAGACTTCGTTTAAACCAGAGATTTTCATGAAACATATCCAATATCCTCGAGTTGAAACCCATCTACGGCATGAAGTATACAGAAATAATTACTTTATGAAATGCCTTGTAGTGCGATATTTCAACAAAAGTAATTGGTTTTACGCTAAGTTTTTCTTAATCAATGAAACAACAATACAGGCATGTGAGCGACTAGTCGTTCGTCGGCGCCCGATGGAGCGCCACTCACGGCTAGCCGTTTCACCAAAATCCGAAATCTGTAAAAAAAGACCGTTAGTAGCTACTCCTGTAAGACCTTAAATATAGACAAAATATATGGGTGTGGGTGTGGGTAGCGGGTCCAGGTCTGGGTCTGGGTGGTGCTGTTTTTTTTTTTACTAGAAAAGAACATCCAGACTTATACCTGGTGAAAAAAGATAATATCGGAGCATCGTTTACAAGCGCAGCATTGTTACGGTAGTTATAAAAGATTAGAGTTTACGTTATCAGTTCTGAATGGCCGTAGAGTACCGTTTACGATTCTAGTAAATAGCTGCCGAACACAGTTTGTCGTTTTTCGCCGTAATTGACTAGTTTGTGGCAGTGCGTGATTGCCATGGGATAACAATAAATAGCAATATCCAAAAAACAAATTTCCTTCACCAAGGAGTTTTTCCTCAAAAGAACAAAGGCAATAGAGAAGGGTGCAAAACTTGTTTTCTCACCTGATGATACTAAAGTCAAACTGAAAAGAGCAACCGAATGTCTATTACGCCGTTTCTTTTCTATATACGTTATCTTTTTCTCTATTATAAAATCGAGCGAACTTTGAAAGCTGATGCACTGTAGGAGACCAACTTCTTCGCATAGACGACTACACCTAAACGTGAGTATACCATTTCCTCTCTGGATTATAAAAAAACACTATTTTTTTAATAGAGGATCTTCTGAATGAGTTACCGACAAAGCATCAACTCTATAGTGGTATATGGCCCAGCTCAGGCCGCCGCCAAGCTTCGTGTAGGTATGCAAGTAAAAATCCGCCGTGGTGGAGGTGGGACACGACTGGTTATCATCAAAGCTATCGATCAATATTCAGGCAACGTGCGTGTGAGATGGGACGAAGCTGGCTGTGTCATGGATAAAACTGTAACGGCAGCAGAGATTGTAACATTGAACTGATTCTCGAACGTTTTTCTCCTTGTGCGTTATGATGTTAACTGAAGAATGATTGAAAAAATAAATATACTATGAACTAAAACAGGCCTCATACACACAACACTAAGCTGCTGGTATCAATAACAAATAATCTCTTCAGGGGTTTCGTCCGAGAACGTTGTTTCGTAGGGTATGGGTGTGTGTT